TTGTCAGTCTCACACAAAGCAGCGATTTCTTGCAGAGGCCCAGCACAGCCCTGCGATGGGCATCCGCTGAAAAATCAGCCCCTGTACAAATAAAGAATCAATTCCCATTGCTAAAAAGAAAAAAAAAAAATCATCATCACTCATTACCTTTTCTCTTTCCTTTCAAACAGCAACTTTATCAGTAAATAGCCATAACATTCTCTTGGCAAGAAAATAAGTCTGCCACTCTGGGCTGTATGTTTTTATTACTATTTATTTTTTAATTTTTTAAAAAAAATTTTTTCCAGCTCACTACAACCAAAATGTAAATCAAGTCTTAAATGGAGTCTTCCGATAAACCTGAGCCAGTTTTGGCAGGCAGATGTATGGTAGACTTCAAAATTCAGCCTTTTTTTTTTATTTCAAGATACAGAAAGAAGTGCTCAGAGCCCTAGACGTACCTTCACCCTCCTTCCAGAGCCCATTATACACAAGATTACTCTGTACTACACGGCAGCCCTCAAACACAGCGTTCCTCCACATTTCCAAGACATGCAAATTACCTATACCTTTTTCTGCAAAGGCATACAGTTAAGTCCATGTGATTTACCTACTCACCTACTTCTAGTTCAGCTTCTATTCTAACTTATGAACTACACAGTTCCTCTCACATGTTCTGACACTGTTGTTCCATAACGGAGCCGCTCCTCCTACCACAGCAGCTCCTTTCCCCCACCATTACAGGCCTCTCAGCTACTGAAAAAGAGCCTATCAATCAAGTACCAGAGAAAACAGTCAAAAATCCACACCTTAGAAGAAATTTCCATTTTTCAGGGTGTCCCATTTACACGTAGAAAAGTCGGTATCCCAGTAAGCAAAATGAAATAAACACAGCGGCGGCAGCTCAGAAAAGCAAACATTAAACTGAGCCATGAAGTTGATGTAGAAAACCCCTGAGCTGAGAGTTTCTTCAGTCTTTGTGACAAGAAAAAAGAAATCACAAGAGGAGGTAAGGCATGAATTACACCACCGGTTTACGCTAGCTGTCACGGTATTTACCATCAGACACACTTTTACAACGCAATAAATTTACGCTAGCTGTCACGGTATTTACCATCACTTTTACAACGCAATAACGAGCACAACCACCTACAAACCACACAGCAGGATCTAGTAGCTACTTTCACTTAATCGAAGAACGAGGCTTCAGCAGCCCTCGGCACCGAGGAGCCCGGATTTATATGTCAAGTCCCCATTTGGGTTATGGTCGGCTGGGTGTTTGTGAAACATCCCTCTCCATGGCAACTGTCACTCGCGCCGTCCTCAAAAGTCACTCGCATCCGCCAGGCACATACACTCTCCGAGTGGGGATTAGGCTTTAGAGCTGGGCCTGCCCAGTTCTCCATGGAAATCTTCCTTCTAGAGGTTTCCAATTCACATTTAAGTACCAGAAGGCATCTTCTTATGAACTCAGCCTTTATCCCAGACAATGCTGCAGCAGGGAGTAGTCATTTCATCTCGGATGCAAAAGCATCTCTCATGGAATATGGTTAGATACATGGCACAGCAGGCTGCTCGTTTCCTTCACCTGGGGAGCACCGGTAGCCACAGCAGGGGCAGTCACTGTCAAACCTTCTCCTTAATATTTATTGATGCCAAAGATTCGGACGCCGTGCAACTGTGGCAGCTTGGGGATAAGAACAGTCAGGAGAGAGGTGGTGTTGAGGATAAAGTGTGTTGGATCATACTTTGTGTAGAAACTGGCCAGGAAGTACCTGCGGGAGAAGAGAGCCAGTTTAGCTGGTAACACCACTGTTTAAAAAAATAAACAAACACAGCATTGTTGAAAAAAAGAAGTGCTTCAGTAACCAGACACATTTTACTGATGAACGACCAATCTATTCCTCTATTAAGCATCTCACATGAGGTTCTAGAATATTATGGACTGTCTCTTCCTCCTGCACTTCTCAAGGTGCTAAAAAGCAACTCTCAGCTAGTATTTCCCTCAAGAACTTCTTCCTGCTCCTCCAGTTGGGAGTCTCCAACTCCTGCAGCTACAAGCCTGATTTATGATACAAGTTTTAAACAGTGTAAGATCCGTTACCAAAATACTCCCAGTTCTGCTGCCCTAGCAAGCTCATGATAAAGCATCAGGGATTTTTCGGTGCAAAAATAATTTACTCTGAGCACAACTGTGACTGGCGTGATTTTAAAATCCCCCCGGCAGCCATTTCCAGCATGTTTTTCTTCTAAGCTATTCCACAACCTGCTCAACTGGAAGAATAAGGAAATGTGCCTCACAAGATCCAATTCACTACCAACTTCATTACACTCCGAGCCAATACTTTCACCTCATTCTTTGCAAAAACTAGTCACAGAAATGAGGCTGTGAGATTGGGGTTTTTTTATTGTTTGTTTGTTTTTTTTCCCAGCAAAAGGAAGACGTTTATGCAGCTGCTTATGCATTATTAGTGCGTGAAGAGAAACATACTCAGGTGCTATTCAAAATTTCCACTGCAATGTGGGAAACTATCTTTGAATAAAGAGAGGAATTTTCCTGAGGAGTTATATATTTTTCAGTTCCTATCCTTTGTGAACAATGTTTTAAACACTACGCAGTTTCTTCCCTTCCCCCCCATCCCGCCATGCAAGTGGACAACTTCCTTGAGTGAAAAACAAAAAGACTTTTTAGAACTGGATAGTAAATACGTATCTGATTTGCCTTAGTTATGCAACCATACTTTTGTCAACAGAGACAAGGGGTGTAGGATTTCTAGCTTATTTACGTAACTAATGTAAACAGAAGATAATCTGCACAAAGCAAAAGTGAAATGTGAAATCCTGGACCCCCTTCAGCCAGGGCTGCCACCCTCCTCGCAACTCACAAGTTGCAAAATGGTTAATAAATGCTGTCACGTGCACGCACTAAAGGCAATTAGTGTAGATTTTTGACATTTATGGCTTCACAATCTCCTAAAGAATGTCAAGGGTTAACAGTGAGTCTTCCTCATAACGTTCCTCGTTTTTAAAACCTGCCCCATTAATAACTGTTTATGAACTTTGACTTCAGTATGTGAACCTGAGTGTTGAAAGCTGCTGGAAGAAAGACTGTTAATTATATGGCCTGTGTGTACTCCCTATCTCTGTGATGTAGAAACAAACAAACAAGAAAAAAGAAAAACAAAAAAAAAGCGAGAAAATGCTTTTGGCATGTAAATTGCAACCCGTTTTGTTGCCCCTTTTGAAATCATGGTTTTATGATGCAATTAATCCATAACACAGTTTTGAACTCACAGAATTATAGGAGAGATTGTGAAGAATTTTCTTGAAGATGTAAATTGTACTCCATAATCCAGTTGTTCCCAGTGTGTTAGTAGCCTAGCTTTCCCCTGATCAGGTGTTTCAAAAGGAGTTCCCTTTACTGCATGCAAAAACACATACATTCCCTGGGGAAAATAAAAAGTGAATACAGTGGCACTTTTAGCTGATTTTTTTTATATAATTGTTACATTTAAAAAAAAAACAAAAAAAAAAGAGTAAAAGAATTGGCACCCAGAAGAGCTGTTAGCCTGTAATGACAAATCATAGATGAGGAAGGAAGAGATGGGAAGTGATTTGTCCAAGGTTGCACAGTCAGTAGCACAGTCAGAATTACAGCCGAAATCTCTGTGGTATCTGATCCACTGCCTTGTCTTCTACATTAGATGGCAAAAATTACACGACAGCAACAGAATTTTAACAAGCACTGTAACAAGTTTAGGGCTGCCAATTCATATCACTACTTTCCTAAAACAGCATTACATGAGTTAGGAGGTAAGAGCCTGCACAAAGCAAAAAGCTATTTACGAATGCTGGCAATATTACAAGAACTTCTGAAAGCTTTCTCAGCCCCTCCACCAGCTTCAAACACTTAGAAGCTGACTACCAGCAATCTGCTGAATGCCATCTGCCCATCTCTTTGCTGCTTCTCCTTAACCAGACCGGGGTGTCCTTTGTGACTGTTTCTGTTTGATGGGAGCACCTCGTGCCCGGTCTGGCCTGAAAGATCAATCTGGGCCCAAAGGTCAGTCAGACTGGGGAGTCCACCCTCTCCCAGTTTCAACAAACATTTGTTTTCTACAGAAAAGAGCATACTAACTCCAAGCATGAGCGTATCAGAAAATACTAAAGACTTCTATTTTATTCCAGGGGCGTTCATTTCTTATGCACATAAAGAAATTGCTATAGAAAGCTTAATATAGAAAAATCATATTTCTTCCGAATTCTGTAAGGGAAGTGAAAGTTGAGCAAGTCGCTTCGCATCATCTTCCACCTTCTTTTTTGGAACAGCCCCCTGACTGGAGGCTTATTAATCTAAGAGAATTCATTTGCTTAATTGCTTCTGCAACTACACGATGTTTGCAGCATCTCAGCTTGAATAACTTAACCAAAAAGCACTTTTAGGACAGATCCAAATGCTTACTATACACTTCATTTCGCACTGGTACTTGCAGAAAGGACCATGAAAAATGTCTTCAAAGTCAGCTAAGAGTTTTCCATTACGGAAATTCAAGATTTTTTTTGTTTATTTGTTAAACTGTCCAAGGATTTGTTTCCAAAAAAGTGCCATTTAAATGCTGGAATATTCAAAAGTGCAGTTTATATTCATCTTCTAGTGATCCACTAGAAAACTACTTGCCAGTGCATGCTCTCATCCCTGTTGTCATTATAGGTACTTGCAATGAATTCCATAAAGCATTTGGGAAATATTTAGTAATACTTGTCTCTACCAACATCTTCTGAAGTCAGGCATGTCCCATGCTGTCAAAGATAACGTATAAAATGCCCTAATGATGCTTACAATTCCACTATTAGGGTACCCACAGGGTAACAGGATTCAGAGGATATTATCCAATCTCAGTCTTTAAACTATTATTTTCCTAAATAAGGAAGAAGCTATCTGTCTAGACTTCTTTGCTGTTAATCTTAGAAAGCTGAGTTAGCAAATCTCAAGTGTGATGTAAATTGCTGGACTATGGCCCTCTTTTCTCTAAGCTTGGCAGGACCAATATGCAAACTTACATTACTTTAAATGGTTACAACAAAATTACAGCATCCTGGGAAAAGGAGGCAGAAAGATTCTTAAAGTCTTCAGATTCCAAATCCTTTTGCAAACAGAAGTCATCATGCAAATCACAACCCACTGAATAACAAATGATTTCAGGGTTTGGGTCAAGGTAGTCCAGTTTTTTCCCCCACTGCTTCCAAGCAAGATTTTTCTTACATCATGTATAATGATAGAGTTGTATGCCAAAGTCATTCTGAGCTAAAATTTATCTAGTGTGACCATAATTCAAAGCTGAAAGAAAAAGAGCAGGAAAGTTTCTGGCCAAGAAACACGTAAAGTGATGAAATTAAACATTTTGGGATACTAACAGGTTTGTACAGAAACGTTAGTAGATAATATCCAAGAATTAAAAATGTAATATATTTTATGGATTCAGCACAGCTCTCTAATAATACATACAACACTGTAAAAGTCAGTTGCCATGATGATTTGATGTTTGCAAGATTATATCTTAAATGCCTTAAAAAAGAATACATAAAATATATAAGGAATATTTCACATCTTTTGTGCTTAAACCCAATGTGATCACCTGTCACTCACTCCTCCTCCCCAAAAGAGCCAACTCATTTAATAGTAGATAAGCCAAACAGAGGTGGTGTTCTGGCTACCTGGGTACAGCCTGGCTATTTTTCTCTTCTCCTGCTACTAAAAATAAACACGTATGAAGAACTTTTCAAACTTTGTTACAAGAGAGCGTACTTACCAGGTTGTGAATCACATTTGTTAAAGTCCAGGCGACAGGGACACTAAAGAAAGGAATGCTGAGCAAGACAATGTGCAGCATGCCAACTCCGAGCGCATACGTCAGCCACATTCCACGACTGTTCATCACCCGGGTGTTTGGATTTACCTCGCTGTGGGCAACTCCTACGTTCATTTTTACCCTATAAAACAGAACTGCTTGAAGACTGAGACTACTGTCAGAGAGAGGTACTTAACATATGCCATTTTTTTTTTAAATTTGGGAAAAGGCTGTTTGAAATAAGCAGGTCTGGAAGGAACACAGTGCGTCAGCCAAAGTGTACCTCAAGATCTTTAAAGCATGGTTTATAGAGAAGTCAGTACAAAGGGGATGTTAGGAACTGTTTGCTTAAAAAACGCCCAAACAAATAAACCCAGAAGCCTGCTAAGGAAGGGACATTTAAAAGAAAAAGAAAAAAAGCAAGCTGTGCTGTTAGAAGCTAAAGTTGCAAACCTCTTGAGAAACCAAGTTTTGTAACTTTTGTCCTCTAAATTCCTTTCCCCATCCACAACAATATCTGCAGGTCTTTTCCACTTCCTATAACAGACAATTTTCCTCCCGCTTCTCATTCATGTAATGGTTAATGAAGAACTCTGCATACAGCAATTGCCCAGTCACCTACTGCTAGAAAGAACGAAAAAGGGCTCATTTATGCCTGCCTTTCTTGCAGCAGAGTGCAGATTTCAGATTTTCCTCCTCTCCCCATCTGTTCGTTTTCAGACAGACATTTCTGCCTATCAAGTCTGGCTGAAATTAGCCAACGGGTTCAAAAGTTTTCTAATTGACAGACGCAGAGATAGAACAGTTTCATAATGCTGATTTCTGCAGGAGATTGACAGGACTTACTGGAAGTGACACACTTGGCCTGCTGTACTAAAATTCGTAATGATGATTAAAAAAACTTACTGTATATTGCATGTTCACATGATCTGTAAGACTATGCATATTAATTTTCAGGGCTGGGATGAATTTTTTTAACTACCTTCTAAGTCAGTCTACAAAACTGTTATTTAACCAGAATAAATAGCGTGCTTTTGGTAGGAAGTTTGTCTTTTACGAGTGCCGTAAAGCACCGTAACACCTTTAGCGTGTTAAGAGCAGGCTGCAGAACAAAAATAAGACATGATGAACCTGAAAACCAAAGCAGGGGCAACGCTGGTTTTAATCAACACTTGCTGCGAAGTGTTTCAAAAGGTACAGGGGATGGGTGAATCATGGAATTGTCGGAGTTGGAAGGGACCTTCTAGAGATCATCTAGTCCAACTCCCCTGGCAAAGCAGGATTGCCCAGAGCACATCACTCAGGACTGCATCCAGGAGGGGCTTGAAGATCTCCAGAGAAGGGGACTCCATGACCTCCCTGGGCAGCCTGTTCCAGGGCTCTGGCACCCTCACCCTAAAGAAGTTCTTCCTCATATTTGAGTGGAACTTCCCATGTTCCAGCTTGTGCCCGTTGCCCCTCATCCTGTCACTGGGAACCACTGAGAAAAGTCCGGCTCCATCCTCCCTCAACCCCCCCTTTAGACACTTACAAGCATTAATTAGGTCTCCCCTCAGCCTTCTCTTCCTCCCTCGCCCCCCGGGAGGCAGCGCCGCGCCTCAGCGAGTACCCGCACCGACATCTCGGCACAGCCCACCACCTCCCCTGGTGGTTTTTCCTCACGTTTCTCGCCTAATCCCACGGACACCTTCTCTCCCTTCCCCTTGCCTTGCCTCCCGCACCAAAGCCGCCGGGGCCTTCCCGGGGAGCCGCCTCCCTTCCCGCCCACCCCCCCAGCAGACCCCGCCGCCGCTTGCCTCAGGGCCCGGCCTAGCAGCCACCGCCAGGCGCCCCGGGGCCTGCTGGCAAGCACCGGCGGG